TTAAAACCATACGGGCGTACAACTTTCCTTACAAATTGAGCGCCTTTAAAACCAACACGCAGAAGAATCTGTATTCAAACTTTGGACCTCTATCGAATTTTCTCGTATCTATAAGGACATCCGAACCATAAAGCTTTCAACAATAAATCACAAATAAGGAAACGCAATTATTTCACGGAATCAGTAGCATACAATAGATCTGATTATTTTCCCAAAAAGCGAACATCCCACGTCAATCTCTTCATAACGAACAATGACGGGAACCTTAAGATAACATATGGCCTAATAGAAAAAAATGACAATACAGGCCAAACTCCGGTACTTCTGTGTTAATACCAAGGGCAAACATCCTACTCGTAGAATATTTAACAAATTCAGCCAAGATGAAAATCGAGTGAAAGAGATTCGTGGCTTTTGTGATGAGAGGCTGCGATCGTAAACGCTAGTTAATGAGACGTTCCCGGACAACGGCGGTTGCCATGCTGTTAATTTTCGTTGCAGGCTTTCACTCACATTCAGGGTCGAGATAAGGTTATTTAGGATGAGAATGAATTTAAAAAAGAGAGAAAAATCAGATGAATAGCTATGAAAGTAAATAACATATAAGTTATTAACGCATACGCGAGTGCGCGCGCACACACGCACACGCAAACACATTTCTAAATATTATATTTCTTAAATAGCTCTACATTTTCGTTTTCTGAAAAAAAAGTATTGAGCGCTTCTACATTAATTTATAAACTTATAATAAACCGTTCCTTTGACAAATATTGCTTTTTCAAAAATAAAATGTATTTTCATTATATATATATATATATATATATATATATATATATATATATATATATATAATGATATTTGGTAATCTGTATGGATAATTCCAAAGAGGATATAGATCTAGAGAGATCAATGTAAAAACGTAGCAAATAATAATTATTAAATGCATGTCTGGAAAATTTTTATACATTTATTTGTGCAATGATGCTCAGTTTGATGAAATAAAATATCACCATGGATTTTAAAAAACCTTCGTTTTCAATTATATATATATATATATATATATATATATATATATATATATATATATATATATATATTATTATTATTATTATTACAAACGGTCGAAACATCGTGAATATGGCTATAAAATGAGGGCAACAGTCAAAACAATGAAAATAGTTTGTGTATATAGATAGATAGATAGATAGGTAGAGAGAGTGAGAGAGAGAAATAAGCAAAGAGCGATAGAGAAACAGAGGTAGAGAAAATATATATATATATATATATATATATATATATATATATATATACAATTATTATATACTTGTATATATATATATATATATATATATATATATATATATATATATAGATAGATAGATAGATAGATAGATAGATACATACATAGATAGATAGATAGAAAGGGAAACAGATATATAGAGAGAGGGATAGATAGACTGTGAGACTGAGAGAAAGAGAGACTTGGACCAAGAGCCTGAGAAACAAAGTGAAATAAAATTATTAGTAGAAGTCTAAGAGTCATATATTTTTTCACACTTTTCTACAGATAAATTTTCCATAGGACGAAACGTCTTTTAATATTCAACACACATACACGTGTATGTTAATTACAAAGCTTAAATTAAACTGCAGCACAAGATCACATAAATCGTGCATACCACGGTGTTAATGGTGAGCTTTGAAGATTTTCTGTGTTGAGGCGTCAATATACTTTGGTTCGTTTGAGAGAAGAAGAAAAAAAAACGCTAGAAATATACGAACACCTACCGAGTTTGGTTCTCACTAGAATATTAATGCTTTCAAGATTAGTTTCTTAATGACTACTTCACACTAAGTCACCTTTGATGGTTTCTGAATATGGCCATGGCTGGCACAAGTCTCAAAGTTCAGAAGTAACATGTTACGAGTGAAAAGCAAAGACACGGCACTTGTGAATTATGACACTAACATTCATAAGACAATTGCAATCAACATAAACACATATGCAGGTTTGATTAAAGAAAAATAAAAGAGTTTTGTTCAAGATAATTCCTTGTCTCCAAAATCTTACGTTCTGTCCAATATATTTCACAGCAGTTTTTGTTTTGTAAGATATTTTCACAGGAATTTTATATTTATTCCAATGCTGTTTTATTAATGAGTCACGCGTTTACATTTTGTGTTCAGTTCATGATTAATTTTATGGAATACTTTCGGGTATGAACTTATCATATGCAGTGGAACCTCGGTTTACGAATTTAATTCATTCCTAAAAGCCGTTCTGAACCCGAAATGTTCGTAAATCAAAATTATTTTTTCAATAGGAATCAATGTATATATATAAAAAAAAATCATAGTACAATAAAATTTAAAAGAAAAGAACAGCACGACACACGAATGTATATAACATGGCGGTTAAATCGATTTGGCTATGTTGTTCGAGAACCGAAATTTTGTTCGATAACCGAGGCATTTTCATCTCGAATTTTCTGTTCGAAAACCGATTTCTTTGACATCTGAGACTTTCAAGAACCGAGGTTCCTCTCTATTAATTTTCAATGCGTCCATTTTATTGTTATTTTAAGTTATTTTTCTCATTTGATATCTCATACCCATTTTTATTTTGTTCCAGCCTATCGTCCGGTTCCCCACCCTCTTTTGAAGAGAAATAACGGTTTAGGCTTTGTTCCCAATTTAGAATTGGGCTTCAGTTCCTTCTAATGTGTTCTCATTCTGTTTCTCTCTCAGTAGACCCTCGCGACTTAATAACATTTTCACCGTAGTTTGGCTGAATTGACTTAAAAATCTTTTTTGACCATATTTTTCCATACATACGTAACAAATCGGTAGGTTAGCTAACTTTTTGACACTCCTTTCATTGTTTCCAACGAAATTTACTTATCTCTGAATACTTAGCATGATCTATGGAAGTCAGCTTACACCATCGATATGCGTATTGGGATTATGTGTCACATATAGGTTCCCTGGTACTGTTAGACATAGATAAATGATCCCCAACACATACATATTAACTTAGAGTTCCTTTTTGTTAATAATCATGCATGCTATTTCTTATACTAAAGATTGGAATCTGTTCTACGTGCTTTCTTTGACTATCTTGTCCAACCAAATTCAAATGCCCCTTAAGTAAATGTTTTCCTGATTAAACCAAACTAATAAATAATTACATCGGTCACAATACTACATGCCTATCCAGACGATTAACGTTACACCTATCCGATCATAGCTTCCTTAGGACTCGTTTAAACAAACACAAAAACCTATTAGAGGCCATCGAAAATATAGAAAATGCAGGCATAATAACCTCATCCACATTTTTTAAAAAATTTAATAATGGATGCCCTAAAAATAAAATAGAAAAAGCTAACACTCAGTAACTTTAACGATGAATACGGCTACAATATGCTGACCGTGTTTGTAAAATAAAACATCCCTATACCTTTAGGTACATACATAACACGACGTGTACATTCAGTTAAAAGTAAAATAAAATCATCCTTGGAAATGGCTAAAAGATTAGCCGAACTCGCTCGGGCATGAAGAACATTTGTACAGTTTTTCTTTTCTGTGTCCAGAAAAGAAATCACTTGTACGAACAAAAGAAAAAAAAAAAAACTTAATCTCAGTACCCTGGCTGTCGTCTTTAATGAAATATATATATATATATATATATATATATATATATATATATATATATATATATATACATATATATATATATATATATATATATATATATATATATATATAGTTAAAGAAAGGTTTGGTAATACGTGTGGATAATTCCAAACGGGATGTAATCCAAAGAGCTCAATGTAAGAACAGAGCAAATATTAATTAAATAATTAAAAAGGAGACGAACTTAAGATTCCATGACTATAATTTATTTCCCCAGAAAATATATTTTCCTGGTTCATCAGGTCACATTTCTAGTTACAAAGGAATTTGGTTTAATTTATTACTTAATACAGTTTTTGATTGATAGTTTTAGATTGATATAAACCGACAGAGAAGGTGGAGGGATTATAGATTGAACTAAACTGGAAATGGAAAATAAGGATAATATGTGTGTGTGTGTGTGTGTGTGTGCGTGTGTGTGTGTGAGTGGAAACAGAGGAAAAGATAGAGATTGAATGTAATCTTAAGGCAAGCCACCACACTAAATTATTGCGTCTAAGAAAGAAACAGACGGTTGCCACTCGGTAACAATCTATTTCATGATTCAACGCAATTTTCATGGCCTGAAGAATGAGTTCAAACATGAAACCGACTGCTGCTACCTAGTGTTTACCGCAGTGACCACTTTTACATTTACACAAGCTCTAAATTTGATATTGTCCTCATTTACCCAATAATATAGCATTCATTGAAACCGCTTGGTTTGTCAGATATATTTATGTATGTATTTATTTATTCATTTATTCAATATTTTTTTTTCACAGAATTTGATTTTCAATGTCTGGCTACATGGAATAATGGGGACAAAATGCTGTATGGAAAATTTACGGGAAAATCACTTGCCCCGAACGAAAATATGTATCGCTGCATGGTGAGTTTTACATCTGAATTACTATTCGTATCTTTCAATGGAAAGATAGATGTATCCTTAGAGAGGCATTCATATTTATACGCTTATAAATATATATATATATATATATATATATATATATATATATATATATGTGTGTGTGTGCGTGTACGCGCGTGTTTATAAAAATTTCTAATACATATATATATATAAATTATAAATTTAAAATATTTCATATATATGTTTTTGTATAAAAATTTATATATATATATATATATATAAATTCATAATAATCTATCTATCTCTCTCTCTCTCTCTCTATATCTATATATATATATATATATATATATATATATATATATATCAATGAATAATAAAACATATTGAATCTATTTTATTCTAACCCAAGTAATTTTTCATCTTGTACATTATCATTTTCAGGTTTATTTTT